GTTCAAGTAGAAAGCAAATGTTTTGAGAATGATGATGGCGACAAATGTACAAATGTGCTTGACACAATGTATGCATGTGTGGATTGTGATAAGAATTGTACGAGCCCCAATAAGATGATTTTTGAAAAAAAACCCAGCCTGGTTCTAAAAGCCATGCCCCTCCCAGCCACACAGCCTCCCTTTTAATGAGCTGCTCTGATAGAGCTTTGAATGGGAAAAGTGTTGCCAGGTTTAAATGAGAAATATACGCAAACTTTTGAAACCCAATAGGTTGGAGAACTTGCTGGAGCACTTACTTTTTTAGGGTCATGTCCTGCCCTGAAAGAGGAGCCCCTTCCACCGGGGAGTTCTTCTTGCCGCACACATTGCCAAAGCTGTCGTAGCCAAAGAGGAGTCTTCCGGTGGCCCCCGCCATCACCGAGTAGCCCATGATGAACATCTAGCAAGACCCAGGTGGCAGGTGAGCGTGCAGCAAAAGGCTCAAGGCACCAGCCTCCCTTCCCATCCCGCAGTGTCTTGGTCAAAATGGAATCTCCCAGCTTCCATGCGCTTCTCCCCTTCAAACTGAGGTCAACAGCTTAAATCATTTGGGATCCTGCTCATCTAATACTTCGTTTTAGTGTAACAGCTTAGGCAGAGAGAACATTGTCAAACCCTGAAATAGGTTCCTCCTCATTCCCCCATCTCTTGATGCTTCTTACTCTCTTCTTCAAGAGCCTGTCCTTCCCTCCCTCCATCTCTTCCCCTGCTCTTTCTCCTTGGCCAAACTCCACCAGGACCACTCCGGTTTTCTCTTGAAGTTCTTGGTTTATCTGAGTGCATCAAGACTATGCTGAATCTCTCCCCCCCACCCCCACCCACCGCATGTGTCTATTTTCCCATTTTCTTTTGTCTATTTTTAGGGGTCTTGGGCCCTCAGCAGGCAACTGATGTGTGTCAAAATACAATACCAACAACTATCTCTTAGAAGTCTGAAACTGCTGTTTGGAATTACTTGTTAAGAAATGCAAAATAAAGAATCTCAGGATCTATTTGAATTCAATTTCATAATGAATGTAGCTCAAACAATAATTCTGTTATTACACACTGACAGGTCTTGTGCTGGGATTGAACAAAATAGACTATCTTCCTGTAATATAGGAGCCTTTGTGGGGTAGGTGATTATGCATTGGGCTGCAAACGGTGAGATCTGCAGTTCTGAGCCACCAGCCCCTCTGCGTAGAAATGTTGGGCTCGCTACGGCTGTAAAGAGTTACAGTTTGGGAACCCCACGGGGACAGTTCCACTCTGTCTCACAGGGTCATTATGAGTTGGAGTCAACGTAATGGCAGTGAGTTCTTTCCTGTAATATAGCGTGTGTGAGTTCCCTAACACATAACATGTAGAATACGATTTATCATTTGGTGCTGACAGACTCATTCCAGGAGAGAAGATAGAGTACACTGTTCATTCACAGGTAGTACTGGTAGCTTGTATCCCCCAGTCACGTCATCCTCAATGTAGATTGACGTCGGCAAAATAGGTTTCAGACCTTCTGCATTCATTGCTAATTTAGTAGTCAAGATAATCAACATTCTTCGAGTGCCCAGTGTGTGGCGGGTACTCTGCTACTAGAGACACACAGGTGAGCACAACTTTGCCCCTGCCATGAGGAAACGTGACCCCAAAGGGAAAGACTTGTAACCTTTCCTGGTAAGGCAGGAAGGCCCCTACCCCAGAGGAAGACTCCACTCTCCCAGCCGCTCGGCAATGCAACTGACTGGTTAGATTCCTGCCTAAGTGGGTCCCCTTGGCTAGTGGACAGGAGCTCTCTCCCCCTCTTTAAAGGCTCTGGGTGTGGGTATGACTTTGAGTGGCCTGGCATGGCATGACCCAGGCTCAGCCCCCTCGTCTCTCTCTACGAGTGGCTAGTTAGAGAACGTGCGGTAGGATCCCAAGGCTGGGTTTGACCTGAGGAGGCGGGGCAAGGTCATGCTTCAGCTGAGCTCACCAGAGATCCAATCATGGAAGGGCAATTTTTCATTGGCCATCATGCTTTACACGCATACCACCTTTGGGAAGCTTGCGACTAGGGAAGAAGAGTTACTTGGAGGCGGGGGTAGATGTGGCTAGTCCTGACTCCCTGCAGGTAGAGTGCTACTTGACTCCATGAAGACTCTGCGGCGATTCCAAGCACACCGTCGCAGCCCCATCGGCTAGGTGAAGCAGTACAGCCCAGAGGGTAGGCTACCAAAGAGCTCCCGTTCAAGATGCCTGGAGAGAGCGGAGAGGCCGAGTGTCTACAGGAAAACAGCCATGAGCAAGGGGGGAGGAATGGGGCACTGGCGAGGGAAGGAGGGGCAGAGGGCTCCAGATGTGGAGACGTTGTCGCATGTCCTAGGGACATAACCAAAGACAGGTGTGCTGTTGGCTTCTATTCCCGTGATCCGTGAGAGTCTTGGAAACCCGTCGGACAGTTCTACCCTGTCCTCTAGGGTCACTATGCGTGGCATCCGATTCGGCGGCAGAGAGCCTGGCTTTGGGGGTTTTCTCTGTCTGCAAGCCAGGCCCTCTTCACAAATGCCCTTTGTTCAGCTGACTCAGGGAGGGGCCATCAGTCAGAATCCTCTCCAGCCTGTCCGTTCAGATTTCGCTCCTCTCTCGTCACTGGTCAGCACATCATGAGACCCAGAAGCAGAACGCAGACGCAGTGGAAACGCTCCTTACTCCGTGTGCGAATCCTCAGTTAGAGAAGGTTGCCGCAAACACGACAACCGGGAGGAGCGGCTCTAATGTCTCAGGTCAGAACACAGCGAAGCCAACAGGGACCGAATGAAACCTGCAGGTTTCTCTTGCAAACGAAACGTCATCTTAGAGCAGTTTTCAGCTCTGTCCCACTTCAGAAGTTTTCAGGTGGTGCTGGGACCTTTCTCAGCCATGGGGAGGCTTGCAGAGCTGGGCAGTGCGAGGGGAGACCACGAAAGAAAAGGAAGCGACTGGAGGCCAGGCAGGAGAGCTGATCCCCTGGATTTACCAAGCAGTTGACCCAAGTGAACACACAAACTACCCTACGTGCACAAAGGTGCAGACAGATAAATGTAGAATGGACCATAACCCGCTGCCACGGAGTCATTTCTGACTCACACCAAGCCCACGTAGGGGTCCCGGAGCTATACATCTTTAGGGGTGCAGATACTGTCTCATCTTTCTTGCGCAGAGTAGCTGGTGGATTTGAACTGCTATCTGACAGGGTCACCAAGGCTCCTTAGCATTAATTCCATCTTCCATAAACTTTTTGGAGCCCCTTCTATACAGAATAAACCAACTAAGCTCACTGCTATGGAGCTGATGCTGATTCATAATGACCCTACAGGGCAGAGCAGAGGGTCCCTGTGGATTTCTGAGCCTGTGAATCTTTGTGGGAGTTGAAAGCCCCATTATTCTTCTGTCTAGCATACCAAACGCAAACCAAACTCACTGCCATCGGGTCGATGCCGACTCACAGCGATCCTTTCGGGTGGGGTTGAACTGCCCCTGTGAGCTTTGGAGACTATAACTCTTATGGGAGTAGAACACCCCATCTTTCTCCCTCGGGGTGGGTTTCAAACGGATGACCTTTTGGTTAGCAGCCCAACATGTAACCACTATGGTACCATAGTGGGCGCCTGCTGTATACAATAGTCAGATCAAGAGGACAACAGTACGGTGGTCCCAGGAGCTGAGAGTAGGCTGGGGTGTTGCCGGAGAGGAGTGGAGTTCTAAAACAATAAAAACACAGACCACCTGCGGGGAAGTTCAGCATAAGTGGGCGCAGGGAGGGCACCTCTCTCAGCTCCCAGATAAGAGCTTCAAGGCCACTGTGTAAAGGCCACGGAGCAGTCTGCTATGGCTTTAAGGCCCAGCCTTCCACTGCGCCTGCAGAAAAGTCTGCCTGAAACCAGTCGGTAAAGTCAACAAGTGAACAAAGCCCTTTCTTAGCATGAGAGAAGAACAAACATAATATGGCTTACTCAAATATATATTTTTTCAACAAAGGTAATTACTGCTGGGTGGTTATGACTGGGCTTTAGAAATTAATCATTTACTAGGTAGCAAACCTCAACCTGGCCTGGGTGAGTTCATTTACATGGTCTCGGAGAAGGGAAAACGAGACTTTTCCTACAATGCAAACATAAGTTTAGAAGCATCAAGATTCAGCATCCAAGAGACTGTCCTCAGACTGAAATAACCCTCCCTGATCAGGTCTGCCAGTAACGACATATCCCTGAAACCTCAGGGGGAAACGACCATTATCTGTCTAACGAAGCCCAAACCCCCAGCTGTGGGGTCCATTCCAACTCATAGCCACTCATAGGGCACCCATAGGGGGTTCAAGGCTGTGCGTTTTTAAAGAAGCAGGCTGCCACACAACTTTCTCCCGAGGAACAGCTCCTGGGTTCCAATGGATGACCCTTTGACAGCAGCCAAGCACCTGGGCTCCTTCCTAGCTGCTCAGAAGCTTGATATCAAGGCTGAACATAGCATACAGAGAGGTGTATAGTACACTGAGCTGCGGGGAGAGCCTTGCTAGGCAGATTCTGGCATTTCCTTTGTTAGAAGTTCAGCCAAAGCCCGAGGGATGAGTGATTTGGGGTGGGAGGAGGGAAAGTATAGAACTTCCACTCAGCAAGCTCAGATGATAACAGGACACCTTCAGCTCCCTGAGCAGTGATCCTGTTGTAGACCTTGATTCTAGATCTTCTGGTACAGTCATCCAGGGAGCAGGCCGCCTGAAGAAAGGAGAGAGCCACCCCGTGCAGCAAAGCAACGAGGTTCAGCACAGACAGAGGCCCTGGCAGCACAGCGGGTTACTGCTGGGCTGCTTGGAAGCCACCAGGAGGTCTAGGGGGGAAAGGTGAGGCTCTCTGCTGATGTAAAGATTTAAAGCCTTGGAAATCCACAGAGGCAGTTCCATGCTGTCCTGGAGGGTCGCTATGAGTCGAAGCGGAACCCTCTCAATGGCAGTGAATGTGGCTTTGAGAATGAAATTTAAGACTCTCCACAGACTACGGATGTTTATTTTTGGGGTAATGACAGCCTCTCCTTGTAGCACTGGGTTTAACCTGGTGCCACCTCGGATCTTCCTCAGGGAAGGAGGTAGGACTGCAATTTATATTCGGAGCTATTTGGGGAAAGACACACACACATACACACACACACACACACACACACACGTGCGCCGTGCGCCTCTTCTCTGGCAAACACACTTACCAGCCCAGCCCAAAAGAGAAAGAATAGGAGCAGCCACGACGTATCGGTGCATTTCCTGTAAATCTGGGGCCGCCACTCTCTCGGCCTGGGACTCTCTTCAGAAACCTTCCGGAAATAGAAGGAAAAGGAGTCGAGAAGAGAGCCAGTAACCATGTGGGTCCCAACCTGGGACCCAAACTTACTCCACGACTGCTCCGTGCAACCAATCACATATCTATCCATATGACTAGAGGACGTTTGCAAGTATATATAAAGATAAGTTTATCAATGTATGATTTCTTGGCTTCCTGAAACTTCCGGGGAGACTTGGAAGCACCTGCTCCGTAGCCATCAGACATTTGGCTCTTGTGGCCCAGGAGACAACCTCAAGTCTGAGCTCCGCAGTGAGCATTTAAATCCCTCGCCTTTGCCCCAGCAACGGCGTGCGTCGCCGCCCCCCACCCCCCGCCCCCCGCCATCAGATGTCCCCCAGGGCACGGTGGCTAAACACCCAAGAGCTGGGGGTGGGGGGTGGGGCCGCAGCGTTCCCTAAGCACGGCCACAGGCAAGTATGCGTCTGCGGAGGAAGCGCGCCCCTTCTTCCGAGCCTCTTACCACGTACTCGGCCCCCAGGCACTGCATCCTGCGCTCCGCCGGGCCGCACCGCGGGCTCGCAGCGCCCGGGACCCCGCAGGCGAGCCGGGCAGG